TTGTGGCTCCTCTTCTGAAAAGTTTTTTGATGGGCTCTACTTGTTGTTCTGAAACTGAAATCATGGAGAAGGTACGACGTGGAACGAAGACATCGACTCCGGGGCAAGGGCAACAAAACATAGCCTCCATCACTCGCTAACAGTGTGTTAGGTGCTTGATGGACAGTTAGAGTCACCGCTGCTCAACCCACTGCCAAACATTTGGACGGGTTGTTGGTTTGTGTCCATATGCCTTTTCTGTGTGTAAACCCATACATGCTATGTACCCTGTGCTCTGCTTTGTGAGCTTAAACCTTCAGGCGCCTTTCGGCATGAATATAGCATCAACATGGTCAATTGGACTTTCCATCAACATCAGCTTGGGTGAGGGGCTCATGAAACCCCTTTATTGTTGGGAAGATTTGCTCGGCATACCTGATGCGTGGCAATTCTCCCATCTAGCTTGAAGGCCTTTTCGTATGCGTTGTGAAGTCGACGCATTGAGGTTTGATCTGATAGAGCTCTGTGATGGTTTCGCCAGAACCGCCGCTGCCATATCCAATATATCATTTTTGGGGATTTATGGGCATTGTACTCTGGTCGTTGCAGTTGTTGTGGTTGTCGGGGTTGTAGGAGTTGCTGGGATTGCTGGAATTGTTGTTACTGCCACTCTTGGCCATGGTAGCGGTTGCAAACATCATCTTCTGTGGCTGTTGTAAGACCGATGGGCAAAACGGGTCATGATTGAAATCGCGATCGTCCTCATCATCCTCACCTCACGATCCTCATCTTCCTCATTCTTATCCCCTCAAAATTATGTATCATCTCCTCATAATCATGGTCGTCATCCGTCGTTATTGTTGTTATCCTCCCCGTCATCCTGATTCTGATCACTACACATCCTCCTTCTCCTCCTCCTTGTCCTCATCTGCATAATACGCGTCATCAACCTCATTCTTGTCATGGTAGCGGCAATCATCAGAATCAGAATAGCGGTGGAGTTGTCAGGCTTCTCCTCCCCCGATTGCTCATCATCGTCATCATCGTCATCATCGTCATCATCGTCGTCAGCAGCAGCAGCATCATCATCATCATCATCAGCATTATCTCGAAGACCGTTTGAACAACATCGTTCTTCAGCTGGATCTTTGAAACAGGTTTTCTCTTGCGAATGGTGCACTGGCTCTGAATACTGTAGGTATATGCTTTCAGTGTTAAAACGTTTGTTAGACAAGGATGTTTTGACACCTGTGAAACTGAGGTGGTCATTCTGCTGCATCATTGGAAGTGATCACAGCCTTCAAAGAAGGCTCTCAAGTCTGCTGTCCTAATCAGCCTTTCGAATCTTTCTAGGGCCACTTTTTGGGTTCTCATTTCTGGTGTCTTACCGGACAAAGAGCAAATATCCATGCCTCTGAAAGAGAAAGGCAGACAAGACAGATTGAGAGAGAACCTAGTGTAGTTTCAGACTTCCGGGGATTGAGCTGCGAGTGTGACAAAAGAGAAGCAGCAGTTTGTATGACTTTGCAATACTCTGCAATGCTTGCATTCCGAGCATGAAATCAACGAATTAAGTCTTGTTTTGCCTCATTCTTTTGCGTCCCATTGGGCCTTTCCTCTTGAAATAGTTTTGCTGCAAAGTTGTATTTTTTGTCCGAAGGTCCAGTCAGTCCTTTGGAGATGCTGACAAGCAGCTCCGGACTGTTAACAGTCTCGCCGTATGCAGTGCCACAGGTAGGCACCCCCCCTTCCTTCAATTTTCGGAATCATGGCCGAAGTCAGTTGGAGTCGGTTGCGGTCGGTTGAAGTCGGTTGACGGCATTTTGTTCATCTTTTTCTGTGCTGAATATCTTCAGGCAGGCTTTCTACTTTTCGCGAGCAGCAGCGCACGTGGAATGCCAGGAGGCATTATGCTGTCAGGATCCCGGTTCAGAGGCAAGCAGAAGTCGAAGCTTTGAACTGCAGCAGCTTTTTCAATGACCCTGAGCATATTCTGCGCAGAAACATGGGGTATTCCATCCACAAGTTCATCAAACTACCCCGTTTACCATGTTGCTAGGACAACTTACTTTTGTATTCATTCGCTTATGTATGATTCGCCTACTAATCACTCACTATTTATGCAAGGATTCGTTTATATACACTATGGAAACAGTGTGAATCATTGAATCATCCAAATCCACATGCGACAGACCTTAGATAATCGTATAAGTGGTTGAGCTACTTTGGTTAGCCTGTGATTGTGGTGGATCTGCAACGCAGGGATAGAGATGTGAGAAGTCTTGCCTGAATTTCTACATTTCCAGCTTTGGCAACCTATCCAACCTTTAGGCGACGCATCACCTTCTACAACACCATGCTTGGAAGTCAGCAGGTAGAGGTGACAATTTCGAAGGGCATGCCGATTGTATGTTCACTGAAGAATTAGTTCAAGATCTATATCAGATACTGGCCGCGGATCCATGACCACAAGTCTCTTGTCTCTTGATCAATCCTACAGCAAGCTTCAAAACAGATTTGTCACTGCGTCAGTTGACGTGTTATCACACGGCATGACTCTGATTTTCCGAGGGTTACCCTCTGTTCTGCAGGAGCAATATCTGAATTCTCGATACCAGCGGGAGAAGAAGCCTCCACCACAGCAACTTGCCCTCAGTCGCATTCTGAGAACTGACCTTGTTTGATCTTTCGGCAAGTGGCTTTGGCAGTGCCAGTGCTTTCACAGAGCCTCTATGACCTTGTCCCAGCCAGAAGCATTTCCACTGGTTGTGAATTCGAAGGGACAGCTGGGGTTTGTTTGAAGATTCAACTGCTTGCTTCATGGGACATGACAGGTGCCTGAAATGCACAACTGCCCACAGAAGATGGAAACGGACCGCAGAAATGAGCTACGTATACATACAACATCTTGTCTCATGGCCAGCGAAATACGATGAATAAATGACACCATGATCACGGTACCAAAGACAAAGGCAGCATCTCATGGCTGCATGCTTTCTCAAGGTCCTGCAATGAAAAAGTTGGGAGCTCGGTCTCCGGTGGAGAGAACATTACATAAGATCAGATAACATCCGCAACATGCCGGCAGGTAGGAATCATGTCTGCTTGGAAAATCACATGTGACGATGCAAGATCTGCGCCACATCTATGGATCCACGGCTCCTTCCTTTGTGAATTCGCCGACTGCTTTATTGGAAGCAGCTGCCCCAGACATCAAAGGAACGACTTTTTTCCATGCTTTTCAAAGCCTTTCAGTTTTCGACCAAACAGAGGGCATGTGGCTTTGCAACAATAAGGTGCAGGCGGAGATTTGGTGCACCTGCTTCGTGCTTTTGTGATTGGATTGGAAGGTGCATGCAAGAGCATCGGCCTTGACCTCATTTGCAGCGGATGCTTTTCATGTCATTTTACGGCGTTTGCTTTGCTTCTCGCTATGGCCATGGTGCTTTGCAACCTTTTTTGCTAATCGCTGCTATCCCGTAAACAGGTGATGGGCCTGCCGGTGGGAAGCCATTGTGGTGTCCTGTCTGCTTTTAATCCCTCTTGGGTTTTGCACCAGCAACTTCTGACAGGACGGATAACTCATCCGACAACATGCACATCCATTGGACTCAAAGACCTCATCTTTCATGTCAGCCAAGGTCACCAGATCAACAAACAGTGTTGCATGATATTGTGGAGCTGTTTCAGAGGCTGGAGCGTGCGTTTCTTTGGTGCAGAAACGTGTGCTGTATGCCAGGTAGTGCCCGGCCTGCGCCGGGGCGGAAGTTTCGAAAACAGAACATGGCTATAGGAAATCAATGGGCTATAGGAAAGCTTTTGCGATGCAGAAGCCATGAAGTGTTGAAGTTGTGAGGTGCATCAACAAATGAGCAAATGATTACTGAGATGACAATGAAATGAAAGAATCCATGCACAGTTCACTGAATGAACCAATGAGTCATGATTCAACGAGTCAATGAATCAGTGGATTGATGAATCAGCAAATCAGCAAATCAGCAAATCAATAAATCATTGAATCACAGAAGCAACAAACCAATGAGTCAATGGTTCAACGACTCAATGAATCAATGACTCAGTGAACAAAGGAATCGGTGCATCAATGAACCAATGAGTGACCGATCCAGTGAGTCAATGAATCAACGACTCAATGAAGCAGTGAATCAAAGAACCAGTGACTGACTGACTGACTGAATGAATGAATCAATTGAATGAATGAATGAAATGAATGCATGAATGACATGAAATGAAATGAAATGAAATGAAATGAAACAAACATATAATGAATGAATGAATGCAATGAAATGACACGACATGAAATGAAATGAACGAATAAATGAATGAATGAACGAATGAGTGAATGAAAAAATGAAATGAAAGAAATGAAATGAATGAAAAAAAATGAATGAATGAGTGAATGAATGAAAGAATGAAATGAATGAATGAATGAATGACTGACTGACTGACTGACTGAATGCATGCATGCATGCATGCATGAATGAATGAATGAATGAATGAAGAAAAGAAAAAACACATGAAATGACTGAATGCATGACTGACTGAATGAATAAATCAATGAAGCGAAATGAAATGCAATGAAATGAAATGAGTGAATGAAAGAAAGAAAGAATGAATGAATGAATGAATGCAATCACCTTGGATCTGTTTGAGAAGTTGATCGACTTGATTCCAACTGAACAGCGGCTTGATGCTGTGAAACGCTCTGTGACAGGTCAGAACCACTTTTCAAGAAATGGCAGCCGTTGTGGGCAGCGGAGGAGATATAGCGGGATTGCTGTTGCGTGCTGCCAGTCCTCAAGCCTTGAAGGTCAATGAGGATGTTGCAAAGTGAATGAAGATTCCATACGCAAAGGCTGAGAGGGATGTTTTTCAATTCAGTTGATTGCTGGAAAGGCATGGTATAGTATGTAGATGTAGGCTGATGCATCCTAGCAAGACAAAATTAGGTCAAGGATGTGCACACCTGAAAAGCCTTGTTATCTACTCTTCCGAAACTCCCGCGCAAAGTCAGATCTCAACATCTTCACGCAATTTTCTACGGTCACAGCCTGGGAGCGACATAGAGCGACTGGGGATAGCCTTGAAGGAGCATGCAGTGCCTTCGTTGGCTTCGTCCTATGTGCGACGGCTTCAGACAGTGCGGCAAAATCTCCGCCCCTTGGCTTCAGCTTACATTTTACATCGGTTTACATCTCCTTTGCATCTTACATTCGCCGACTTTTCTAAAAGTTGTATTCATAACCAATTGTTCCAGAGTCTCACTTGCATTTACTGGTTCAGTTTTAGCCCCGAGGCAACCAAGGAGGACGTCCCAGCCTTATTGTTTTCCTTTTTTCCCATGGCTTCGTGCTCAAAAAATCGAGAGGATCCGTGCCATGACTTTTGTATATCTGAATGAGGTGATCCAGGTGACATATTTTCGACTCCAAGTAATATTGCATACAGACCCCGAGGTTTGCCCAAGACGTGATCATTGCATTGTGGCTTAGCAAGAGAACTGTAGGACTATTAATATTCCTTTAGAATTTACATAAGATAAAAATACACCACCTGCATGGAACAGTTAATTGTACTGATACTGCGATTGGGGTTTCTTTCGAGGTTTACGCAAGATGTAAAACCTCCCACCTTCGTGGAACAATTAAGCATTTCGGGTTTCTGTAACGGCTTTCATAAGATATATGTTTGCCACCTCCAAGGAACAATTGACCATACTCTAGTTAGCGTTTCCTTTTAGGGTTTACATACGATGTGAATTCTCCCACCAATTAACCGTACCAGAATAAGGGTTTACATAAGATATAGATTTTCCCACCCCATGAAACGAGTAACCACACAATCTTTAGTATCATCATTATCACCATGGTCAACATCATGGGCGTCATCATGGTGATCATCATGGTGATCATCATGGTGATCATCATGGTGATTGCCCTGTGACGTCCATTGCCCTGTGACATCCATTGCTCTGTGACATCCATTGCCCATCGTCATGGTGATCATGATCATGATCATGATCATGATCATCATCATCATCATCATCATGATGCTGGTTTGCTGGGACATTCGTTGGGAGTCCGGGTAAATCTCAGAGTTGGGTTGTAATATTGCAGATATACCGTAGTTCAAGTCGCAGCAACTGAAATTGGATTTTTCCAATCGAAACCTCGTCCTAGTCCAGCCATGTTCAGAAGTTCAGGTTTGTTGATTCCACTTGGGATCAAAACCTTGGATGTCGGTTCTCAGCTGGGACCTAAGGAGGATGCAACTTGCCGTGATCTGATGCGATTTTTGTTTGATGCGACATTTATGCGACAAATTGCGACTCCTAGGATGCTGATGCTAATTTTGGAGAAACGCGATGGACAGGCGTTGCCTTCTTGAACGACTTGAGCATGATGGCATATTGCATGACACCAGTGATTCATCATGATTCATTCTGGCCGTGGTCATATGTCATGAGCCCAGACCTACCGGCTGACTGTGATCAATTCTGGAATGCCTGGTCTGGACTGGCATGCCTGTTCTTCTGCTCAGAACTCAGATCTAACGGGGCAACCGATTCTCGAAGCTTTGAGCAGCTTTGCTCGATGGACTCAGAGATTGGTTATATAAGAGCTTTGATTTGCCCACTGAGCATAGTCACTTTCAGACCTCTGGTGGCATGACGCGTGCACCCTAAGGGCTGTGCACATCACAATCTGAAGGTTCAATATGTTCCATGAATGTACAGAAAAACTATTGTGAAACATTTGCATCCAAGCATGAAAGCATCTCCTGCAGCACAACCGAGGCTGAACCTCCCAAATTCAAGAGCCAGGCATCTAAATTGCAAGAAAAAGGAAGTAGCAGCTTGTGATTCAGCTGGTCGTTCTGGTCGAATTGCCACTTTTGGAGGCTGCCTTGGCATTTGACAACATCCCGAGCTGGAAAGCTGAAGATGATGCATTTTGGGATCTGTCCTCAGAAAGGTGCCAGACGTGATTCTTGAACAGATCAGGAATCTGTTGTGACTGCGGTACCAAGTATTTTTTGACGCTTGGACTTTGACCAGACCTTCGGTGACCTGGAACCTTGGGGCCTTCAGTTTCGCTTTCGATGGTGCACAACGAGGTAAACCCGGTATGTAGGCAGATTTGATTTGTTTGGTGTGGAAATTGTCCTTTAGCTGGAGCAATCTGATTCAATGGCAGAACAAGCTCTGAACTCTCCAAGAGGGAGAGGTATCCATCACTCTGGGTTTTCCAAGCAAGTGGACGGACAGCAGCTTGTCAAGGGCCGTGCAAAAAAAATAAAAGAGCAGGTCCCTCTCGCAAGATCATATTCATTCGACGCTGATTTGTACACTGGCCATGTCGGGCCACTATTGGCCAGTGAGGTGTCAGGTCCTTTGGTATTTTGTGCATTTTGATGCTTCCAAGGCAATGCTGGTCATTACCTCTGCTATACCTCCAAGTCCGATGATGGCGAAGGACTCTCTGACTCTATATGGGGCTTCGCTTCATTCACTACATACAGGGTCGAGTATCTATTCTAGAAGCCAACCTAAGCTAGCTGGATTTCAGTTTCCTCTAGCACTGGCACAGGCTGTGCCATTGAAATACTTCGCTCTCCCCAGAAAATCTTGTCCAGCAGGGCACCATGGTTCAGCTCATGTGAAACACGTTCCTGGGTTTCTCTTCAATTTTATTTGTCACGATTGGCAATGGGTGCATAGGAGAGCTGAGGACTTAGAGATGGATTAGGCTTCACTACTTCACTACAGAGCCATACGCCACAACACCCAAAGGGATTCGCTGCACTTTAGCTTGAGCACTTCTAAGCTACTTTTAACACCCTCTGATCAGGAGCCTCTTCCTCTGTATGACAAATTCATTCCCTGGCTCATCGGCTGTCCCCTGGAGTCAGAGTCTCTGGAGATGGTGTGACAGACGGGCTGAGACTTGTCAGTTGAGAAGATTGGTTTATTACCACCATTTTTAAGTTAATTTTAAATGCAAATGAAGTGGAAATGTGCTGCGACTGAAGGCACTACTTCGTGACAAATGTGTACGGGTTTGATGGGCAGGCTGGGAGACATACAAACCGTCTATTAAATCTAATAGTCATGCACGCGGCCCACATGCGCGCGCACATTCACACACACACACATATATATATATATATGGTTTCTAAGTGCGACTGTGGCTTCTTGTGACTTTGCTGCTCAAGGTAATGTGGAGTGATTCACTGTGGGGGTGGCTGTCTTTGGCAGGTGAAGTCAATAGACTTGTTGCGTGTCCCTTTCACTGCAGTCCGTCTTGTGTCCCCTGGTTCCTTCTTGGATTTTGCAGTGGACTTACCTTCTGTGTGTTTGCCATTGGACTTCTCTCCTGTGTTTGGATTTTCAGATCGGAGCTCTTTCCTTCCTGTCCGCTTGTGGTTCCTGGGACAGTTCGACGGTCACGCCTGGCAGGGTACCTTGAATGAGTTGCCCCTTCAGTGCCCAAGAGCTTAGAGATTTGATAACCAAACTTGAGCAGTTGGAGACTTGGCAGAAACAAGCTGAAGCCTCAGCTGGTTCCTCTTCAAGAGGTTATACGCGCGGAGACCCAAAGGCACGTGCCAAAGCAGCTGCACCAGTGCTGTCTAAGCCGGTTTTTCCTGCGATCCCTCAGATTGCCTTCCGTTTTACGTTGGTGAAAGAAGCTGGACCTGAGTTCATTGGAGCTCCATTTCCTGGTGTGGAAGAGGGACCTGGACCTTTGCCTGCCCTTTTGCAAGACCAAGCCATCTTCCTTGATTGCGACGAGCGCGAAGCCCTTCAGAGGGTTCACCTGAGTTTTGCGGCAGGTTTTTGGGCCAGAGCATCTTTGGAAACTCACTGCCACACCTTCACCCCGCCTGTTGTGTCTACACCATCGAAGCATACTATTGTTTTGAGGGCTTGCGGGTTAGGTGGATTTGTCAGGTTTGCTGCAGTTGATCATTTCCAGAAGTTCAGTGATTTGTGCTTTTCTGGGGTGTCGCTGTACCACTCCTTTGCGACAGAAACTGAGTTGGAGATTTATTGCCAAGGAGCAAGAATTGCAGTTCCGGCTCTGTGGGAGCCATGCTGACCAAAGATCGGTTGAAACCAGCCAGCAGAGGTGATCCCTCTCTGTTGGTAATGACAGTTCCTGGGGTCGCATCGTCGGTTGGAGATGATGTAGATGTTTTTTGCCTTCCGATTGATACCCGTACAGGGGGGATGCTTTTAGCTTTGCCTCATGATAGCATTTCCCAAGAAGCACTTTTGCTTGGCCAGTCTGGAACCGAAGAGTTGCTGTTTGGCTCAAATACCTTTGTGACTGTCCCCTTGGTTGAGGAATCTGATGACCTTTTGTCGGTGGTCGCGCTTGGGATTGATGCCAAGGTGCTGGTTGTTGATGTCAACGATGATGTTCTGTTGAGCTGCCGAGAATATGACCCGGTCACGGATCATCTAACGGGCATACTTGGTTTTTCTCATGATCACCTAAATAGCCTGCCAGAGCCTACTCAGTTGGTTGCGCTTGTCACGGAATGGCTGTTGGGAAGGTCAGATGATAGGACGGGGTTTTATACAGCTCAAGAAGACCTGGCAGAACCCTCTCCAAAGGTGAGTCGCAGCAGTGCAGCTGGTCAGCTTCCGACTGGCAAAAAGGCGAATACAGCCAAGCGTGTTTCAAATGCCGCAGTTGCAGAACAGTTAGCAGCCTTAACTGCTCAGCTCCAGTTGTTGTCAAAACGCCAAGACCAGTTAGAAAAGGCAAGCAGCTCTACTGCCGCTCCTGCGCCAGATCCTTTTGTTGGTCCCACGCCCAAGTTGCCAGCCCTATCATCCGCGCTCAAGAACCCGAGCGGGGTGTCACAGACGGTGCCAGCCAAAGCTTTGCAGTTGATAGGACCTCCTCCAAAGGTAAAAGCCAGTCAAGCTGTGGTTCCTGCTGTAGGTGTGGCAGGCGACGAACCTTACGATGCCTTGCAGCCTGGACCGGAAGAACCAGCCATAGCAGTAGCTATTCAGCAGCAAAGCAATGCTGTTTTCGCTTTAGTGGCGCACCTCACTTCCCAAGCGGGAGACGTGCTGGGGGATTTCAGTGCAACTGGAAGTCAGTCTGGTACAACCAAAGGCGTGCAGCGCAGAGAAAAGATGCAGAGCGATCTTGCCAACGGGAGCAGCAGTTATTTCTTGCAGATGATGCAGCAGTTACATCGCAGGCTTTACCCTTCCAGACCTGTTCCTCAAGAAGAAGAGAATCTGATGAGTGTGTCGGTTCTGCACTACTTGGAGAGACAGGGAGGCTACAAAAGCAACAGGGAGTTGGGTTTAGTGGCCTGGGTTTTGGGCCATGCCATAGATGCAGCTGCTGCGGGCGATTTTTGCCACACAAAGGAGGTGTTAGCACTTTTGATGGTGGCAGTCGAGCAAGCAACAATAGACCGAGGCGATTGGTCCCTGGCATATATGTTAACGCTCATGGAGGAGCCGCCGAATCAGATGTTCCAGGACAGAAGCGCTGCCATGCTCCACCACACGAGACCATTCGGTCCGCTGGTCCCACCTCAGTGGACTGCAGTGTGCCTTTCCTACCTAAAGGACCTGGAGGTGCTTGCAACCCGGAAGACCGAAACAGCAAAGAAAATCGCGAAGCCTGCAGTAGCCTCCGAGAGCCCTCCGGCTTCGCAGGAGCCAGACAGAGAGGCTTCCCCGAAACGGAAGCCGAGATTCCCGAAGAAGCCGAAGGCCAAGCAGGCCACGGATGCCTGACAACATGCCAGCCTGTCCCACCGTCTAATAGCCCCAATGTTGGATTTTTAGATAGTGTGGATTTAATTAATGATGGACTTTTAAATAAAACTAAAAATAATTTTACTTTGCATGATGGGGCTG